CACAGATCACAAGAAAATGGCTTCTGCCCTGTGTGGATTTTCATGTGTCTTTTTAAATTGCACTTTTCACTAAACCTTTTTTCACACAGATCACAAGAAAAGGGCTTCTGTCCTGTGTGGATTTTCATGTGTCTGTTTAAACGTCTCTTAAAATTGAAACTTTGCCCACAAACATCACAACAAAATGGCTTCAGTCCATTTTTGTTGTTGACCCTGTTCACAATTGACTCAGAGACCCTGCTGGGTGAACATTCCCAGGCTTCATCAGTGTGTTCAGTTTTTAACCCAAAGTCTGATAAAGGTTTCAGCTGAGACTCAGGATTGTTCACATCATTATCCTCTTTGTCATCTTCACTAACTTCAGTTTCTGAAGAATCAGAATCGTCTGTATAAAAATTTAGATCTGGGATTTTTGTATCTTTTTCTCCTTCACCAGTTGCTGATTCTATGTGGTCACCTGAGCTGCTGGTTAGAAGATCACGGACTTCAACTTGGTGTTGACGAAGCTGTGAGAACAGAGGTTTCTCGTCATCATCCTCACTCTTAAAAGGAACTGCAGTTAATGAAAAGCTGGTGACATCTGTCTCCTCCTTCATACTGAGCTGCTCTCCTCCCAAAATGATCCATCGTTCCTCCTCTTCCTCTTTTATGTGGAGACAATTTGCATCCTGCTGGTCCACATCAGGCCACTGTTCTTCAGGAGTTTCTTCTTTAACCAGCACTGACTTCTGAACATCTGCAGGAACCACTGAAACACATGTAAAATACAGTAATGAGGACTATAGCTTTATATTCACACATACAGGATTTGTTTTACTGCTCAGATCACAGTTATTTTTTCCTCCAAACAGGTTCCAGTGCTAAACCAGAGCCAAAGAGTGCTTAGCCCCAGCTCTTTCCTTTTACATCACTTTAAGCTGCGGCTTTAGCACCCCATCAACTCAGCACAAACTGTTTAAATGTGTAATATGAGTGCAAATAAATTGTATTTGAATGTGTTGGAGACAGATAAATGTTTCTCAGTCTAAACTAGTGAAAGTATGTTGTACATCACCAGATTCAGGCATGTAAAAAAATTTAATTAAATATATTAGTGTGTGTGTGTGTGTGTGTGTGTGTGTGGCTTCTTGCCTGAGTTCTTTCAAATTACATTTCCCGCCCAGTGTGAATTCTCATGTTTTGTTTAAATTCAAGGATTCAAGGTTCTTTATTGTCATTCACATCACATGTGGTACATGAGGTGGAACAAAATTTTGTACGCAGGGTCCCAGTTACATCCAACAACAGCAAAAACATAAAGTGTAAAAAGAAACAGTAAATAAGGATCAAAGATATATACTAAGATATATGCTAAACAAACGCCCAACGGTATGCTAAAAGATCTAAGATATAAACTTGTCACTAATAGTGCAAAACAATACACCGAACAGCAGCAGCACGAATCTCGTAGATTCGGTTCAGCTATAAATTACACGCTTAATGCGAGCACTAACATAAACTAAACTAACATAAACTAGGATTTATTCAAAGCATGCAACAAAAATACAGAAACAAGGCACCAAAAGTGAAAAAGAAATAACTCTACAGCAGCATAGTCCTATTGGTAGA